ATCAACCGATACCATACCGATACCATCGGTTGGAAATTGATGTGTGCGTATATATATGAAGAGCTGCATACTACTTGGATGTAAAATAATTGCCATCATGGATTTGTCAAGCTGCTGCCTACCTTTGTGAATCTAGGAACAAAAAGACTAATACAAAGTGAATCCAGTAGAACTTTTTATTGCCTACCTGGAATAGGTGACAATAGTTGAATAAACTTTTGGCTCTCATAATGGTACCGGTATCCTATTTGTTGGTACTCGCCGATACAGATGACACCATTTTAGTGCTGGATTGGGGTCCCGCCCGATAATGGTATCGGTGCATCACTAATAAAAACCAAATGGCATCACATGTTTTATACATAAATCCCCCCCAAAAAATGTGTTCTTTGTTACAGTGATACAAAACACATACCTTTTTGGAAACATGTTTTAAAATCTGCCCTCATTGTGATATAGTTGATGTAGTGATGTCTGTCCTTGCTCACCCACTTGGTCAGGTCAGACGACAATTACCAAGTTTAAAGTTACTATAAAACTTCTTCTAAAGCTTTTCCTCTTTAAACAGGCTTTAAAAAGCACTCACACGGCCTCGTCCTCTTACTCCCGTCCCTCACTTCACGATAAAGTGACACACTATCTCTTTTACTGGTTTCTCTGTCTTTAATGAAAATTGATAGTCCCTCACACACCCTGGCAGTCATTGATCGAGGGACAATAAATGTTTTATAACCCCTACAATGACCACAGCCACTTTTCTGTTCTACCCGGAATGTTTTGAGTTAATAGAGATGATGCAGTTGGAGTCCTAATATTTGCAGTCTGGATATAGGTGGGAGAGTGATGGATATCTCCGGTGGTGTTAACATGTCAGCTCTTTTATGAAGTGTCTGAAAAGCATTTGTTAAAAAAAAAAAAAACATGGAAAATGTAAACCCTTCATTAAGTCGCCTGATGTTTCCATTAAAGCGCAGTTAAGCTGTACTTTGTCTCAACCAATAACTTGGACCCTCTTTGACGTTTGGCACGGTGGTACCATTCAACAGGAAATGCCTTTTAACACAGCAGGAAGTAGAAACGTTACCTCTTTGAAAACTCCACTCTTTGTTTTCGTCTAATCGCATTAGGAGACCGGCCCCCAGTGTCTGTACTTGGCTCCAGCCGGCACTCAGCTCCCTTTTATTTTCAGTCTGAATTGAATTTCTTCTGACGATGCCGACCACTCAGAGGTTAATCTAACAATTCTCTAAAGTCGTGTCTGGGAATCAGTATGCTGAGGAATGAGAAGAATGCAACAAGCCTAACTGGACTTGACTTATGCGTTAGTTAATGGTTTATCAAGTTGTGAAAAAAAAAATCCCCTTGTGACTCTGGGGGAATAACTTCAACTCTCATGTACAGTCGGATGTTTCCCTAGGATTCAACTGCTTGTTCAAAGTGAGCTGTTTTTGCCTGCTCTGGGAGTATGGGTGGAAATTAGCACTTGACCTATAACCAGTATAATGCCTCTCTCCCCTTGAGGTTAATGTTTATTATACACTGTCGCTGTTTCTCTAAATAAATAAACTAAGCAAAAAAAAAAAAAATCCATTCTTAAGATTTTAATTAAAAGCCATACAGTATTTTCTGTACTTTAATAGGTAACATTCTCCTGAATAATGTTTATTTGAATTATTGGTTAGGTCTTTACAACATAAAATTTGCTGGACTGTTAAAATTAGAGATCTACCAATCCATCTCTGAAATGTATCATAATAAAAAGAACAGCCTTTAAGTTTATTAAGTTCAGTATTTCAGAAAAGAAATTGATATGACACAGGAATGAAGACAGTTTTTTAATCCCTTTCTAACCTGGATGCGTTCCATTGCATTAATCACCTGCGTATGGTGTGTTTTTTAGCAGAAAGAAGGTTGCATCTTAAGCTCTCCTCCCCATAAAATGGACCTGGTCCTGCATTGAAGTTGAGTTTTGACTCTAAACCTGGTTAAAGCATCCAACAAATATACCTTTCCTATTGTGACTGAAAAGCTTAAACACGGAGGGTTTATCTTCAAGTCTTAAAAATGGCAGAGAAAATGTAGCTTTAGAATGAAATCAGCTTTAATTATTAAATTTATCAGATATGTAAACATTGCAGAAATATTGCTGGACCTTTGTCCAACATTTTGCCAAATTACAAGCACCCTTTTCAAGGCTTTGTATTGTATTTAATTTCTGAAGATGTTTAAGGCAATGTTTGGTTATAAAGCCATGTCCTGAGTTGAAGTTATTAACCATCAAGGAAAAAAGATATATCTTACTGTTTGTATTGAATGTCATTGATACTTTGAAGCTATAGTTGATGATTTTTTTATCATGCTTGTCTGCATCACCATAAACTTTGATTTAATGTTATAGAGGTTACGTATGAGCTAGTGATGCTAGCCTTTCCATCTTATTTGGTGAGAGCTGACTAACAGGTTTGTTTGTTTTGGATTTTTGTTTAATGCAAACTGTCAGTGACAGGTGCACAGACTGAGCGTCAAAGACATCAGATGCTGCAGTTCAAAACGAGCAACTTCAATTTGAACGTGGATGGGTCAGCTTAATGTCAGGCTTTCTGGGTCCTGAAACCCTCGCTCTGACTAGTGTTGTTTGTGCGGGTGTTTGTGCATGGCATAGTGTGAAAGTGTCTCGCAGCTGACAGGCCTTTTAGAGGAGCAGGGCATGGGGCCATGGAGCTGCAGCTGCCCCCTCTCTGTGCGCTCTTTGATGGGCAGAGACACGACTTGCTTCCACACCCACAACTTAACGCACACACGAAAACACACACAAAGGCTTGTTTTTCCCTCCTCTGTTACGAAGGGGAGGCGTGTTTTGGGAAGTTTGTTTAGGTTCTTCTGCATTTTTAACCCTAGCTTTATCCTTCTTCATTCAGTGGCCACAGCAGTTAACGGTCAAACTTGTTGAACTTTAAATAGCATGAAGTGGCTGTCCCTGATGCAGACGAGTTTACTGCAGGCACCCACACCCATACTCGACACTTTGCTGTGCGCGCATAAATATAGCCTCATTGTTTCAACTGCTGAACACACTTTGAGGTCTCAACGGTTGTTCTGTTTATGGTTTGTTTAGCTTAGAAGTATGGCCTTCCCACCTGTTCCTTATCTGCATTGCACACACTTGTGCTATTAAGACCCATGCTAATGAAACAAGTGTTTCATCTCTGTTATCAATGAAAACTGATTTTTCTTCTGGTTAAAGATACCAGCATCCTGAAGCCTGACTGTAGCAGTCAGCTCCAGAGTGACCAGGACCTAAATTGGTGTCTGCCTTCTAAAATCATCTGTAATCTGAAATGAATGCAGTTTTATGAATGTTAAGACCATTATCACAATCAATGGTATTGGTTATTTATACCAAAGATGATGGTTGTCTAAACAGAAAACTGAGTTAGAGGAGCTTTTCTACCAATAACACTCCTTGTGAAACACCTGATGAGAACATAGTATGCAAAGTACTTCCAAACAGGGTTCCTTTGAAAAACGGAATGTTCCGTATTTAGAAATAGAAGTACCTGTCGCTTATTTACTGGAAAAGGAACGCACTTTGTCCCGTATTACTGTGAGAGTAAAGAAATAGTCAGTAAAAAGCTAATGAAAAATGAATAACAGGGGCACGTTACGTACAAAACTTACGGTAAACTTGTTCCCCTCCCTGTCCTGCGTTTTGACCAATGAGCTAGCAGCCTATATGTAAAGATCCAGAATACCTTCATCCCATTGGTCGAGTCAAGTGTTGCTCAAGGAGTAGATAGCAGGAGAAAACAGAGCAGTATGGAGGACGAACAGAGTAATTTAAACGCTGATTTACTCAGCTTTAATCTGCAGCATTCAAAGACAGACAACTCCTCACTGCTGCAAGAGCTCTGAGAAAATAAAAGTGTAAAAAGTAGGCTACCGTCACATAATGTGGCATTGGAGCTAATGATTTTTTTTCTGTTTTACAACTGTAGCCTACAGTTATTGCATTAAAAGCACAAATATGTTTGCAGAAGTTTGCTGTTGCACCAAAAATGTGCACTATTTATTTATTGTTTTATATTTATTTTTACAGTTTGAAGTTAAGCAGGACAGGCTTATGTTTAAGATAATTATTTTATTCAGCAAAGTTTGTTATTTTGTATTAAAGTGAATTGCTGGATAATAGTTTGTTTTCCATGTGTCCATGTCACTTGCAATTATGCATCTAATTCAATGCAGATTTGAATCAAACAGCTAAAAAATATCATTTCACACACAAAGGAAGGCTAAAAAAACAATGACCACGCCAGGAAGGGTAAAGACAATTTGGTCAGCTGGCACAAGCAAGAGGTGTCCTTTTTTTTCAGGGACTTGGCATCCCTACTTCCAAATATAGAATGTAAATCAACAGTGACACCTGCACTTCACCCTAAGCACGTGTTCAAAAATGCTTGGTGGGAGGTCAACACCCACCTTGTTGTGGAAATTCGCTGACGTTATTTTAGTTCAGCAAATGTCCTCTTTTGACTGTCTTTTGGACCTGTTACGCCATTTCTACATGGGACCAAAAATGTGGAAACGGAGCACCTTCACAATATCTAAAGTGATCTATGGATCGAGTCAGTTTTCCCTTCTAAATGCATCATTTTAAATCTTAACATTCTAGCTTAGTAGTTTTGCTTCTGGTTATGGAAAAGCATGTCTCTGCTACACTATACTAAATTGTGGAAAATATAGTCTTTTACCTCAGTTAATAATCAATCGTCTTTGTAAAAGCCTGACCAAATGCAAATCAGGTGCAAGAAATTGTACAGGTCAACTTTGGTCATTGACCTTCTGGGTCAAACAATTGACCTCAACCAATGGGACCAATCTTTTAAATAAGCTAACTGCATACTTGAAAATGCTAAATTATCCCTTTGATGTAAACATTTCAGTGGTAATATGATGTTTTTCTTATTGGATTTCATTATTCCACTCCTCCTGTTTGTTTCCAGGTTTGGATGACAGCTTACAGCAGTATGTCAGCAACTTTGAGAGGGAAAAGATCAGTGGAGAACAGCTATTGAAGATCACTCATCAAGACTTGGAGGAGCTCGGCGTGGCAAGGATTGGACATCAGGAACTGGTCCTGGAGGCTGTGGATCTTCTCTGTGCTTTGGTGAGTAGATGTGAATTGGTCCCATTTGGTGTCAATCATCAGGGACTAAACCCATTAATCATAAAATGCGGTCATGAGCTTCAATTTAATGTCAGCCAAATGGTGTAGAATTTTCCACATAACATAAAAAGAACAGAATTATCCCAGGGCGAAGAGACCGCGGGTGTCCACAGAGGTTTACTGCTCTGCTTGCCAGTTTGAAGCTGTAGGAATGTATTTTCCATCTTTTCACATCTTCAGCTTCACCCAACGGTCTGTCATTCCTGCACTCCAAACAAAGACATATAAATATGTCTTTCTTTTGCTCTCTAGCATAAAAAGAAAAATAAAAAAACCTACATGCTAAGTTTCCCAAGGACCTCAGCTTTTCTCACAGATGGGATCAATTTGGAGTTTTATCACTTCCTGTGCCATAAAGGGTCCAGAATGTGTTCTTTGCATTTTTATCAGTGTCAGCATTTTGAACCTCATGTTCCCCTAGAACACATTACATTAATCACCTGCGTATGGTGTTTTTTTTGGCAGAAAGAAGGTTGCATCTTAAGCTCTCCTCCCCATAAAAGTTGAGTTTTGACTCTAAACTTGGTTAAAGCATCCAACAAATATACCTTCTCCATTATGACTGAACAGCTTAAACACTGAGGATTTATCTTCAAGTCTTAAAAATTTGAGAGAAAATGTAGCTAAAAATGAAGTCAGCTTTAATCATTTATTTTATCAGATATAAACCTTTGCAGAATTATTCCTGCACCTTTGTCCAACATTTTGCCAAATTACAAGCACCCTTTTCAAGGCTTTGAATTGTATTTAATTTTTGAAGATGTTTAAGGCAATGTTTGGTTATAAAGCAATATCCTGAGGTGAAATCTTTTTGAAAAACACTGATCAACAAATCTTCAAGAAACAGAAAGAGGATGATTGTAAACCGACCAAGTTATTGCCGTCTGTTTAAAGGGATAGACAAGAAAAAGTAATTATTTATCAGGGAACCAACTAAGATGCCCTTAGTAACTATGTACAGCGGTTTCACAGCTCAGTTGTAAAAAAAAAAAACTGTTGAAAGTATCTGTTTGCTCTTAGCTTTACAAATATGGCCTTTTGTAAAATTTGGCAAGTATAGTGAGATTGAGTGGAAGAAAGCCAAGATTGTACCAAGTGTAGCACTTTCTGGTATCTAAGGCTAGATCTAGCGTTCTGGGTTCTAAATGTTTGCAGAGTTTAACTGATTTTCCACCAAATACGACTCACCAAAGTTCCAGCAAAACTCCACGGAGTCTCCTCTCTTCTCTCGCTGTTTTTTTTTTTAGTCCTGCCCCCTAGTCAATCATAATTCAGGAAAAGGGTAATAGCACCTAATAGCAACTGACCTTAGGCAGAAACAAAAAACACATATACACAGCAATCTAGTCTTTCGCACCTCATGTTGAACTGTACTTTGCATAAAAAACTATACAATATTTTCCCTTCTTTAAGGGACAAAACACAATATTTTAATAGACTTTTTACTTCAACTGTTTCACGCTGACAGAAAATCACAAGTTAGGAAAAATAAAAAAAGATGTAATTAATCCCTAAAGGTCCTCTTTAAGATTTTACTATATAAAAGTATTGTTATATTATAATATTTTACTGGATTGATGTATTTTTAAGAAAATTGCAAACATTTGATGTTAGCTTAACTTGCGCCACAGAGCTACAGCTACACAGAGGGCGTCATTGTGTTGCCATAGCAACAACTGCTTTCCCACCCCCATTCACGTTTATACCCCCCACAAACAATCCAGGCACCTTCCACGGCTGTGAGGGTGACTTTATTGCGAGTAACACTTGATAGGGAAGGGTTAGTGTTTAGGGGGCGGTTTGGGATTCAGCCTGGAAGTAGAAGCTGGAATCTACACTGCAAAAAATAGAAAACTAAATATTTTTCCCTAAAATAAGTGCATTTTTTCTTGAACTGAGGAGGTAAGTGAGACACTTTGCTGATGGAACAAGACAAATTACATTTAAAATAAGAAAAAACAATTGCTTAGTCTTATTTCAAGAGCATTTTATCTAATTATCTTATTTTAGGAGTAAAGATACTCATTCAATTGGCAAACCACCTATTTACCTGCTCAAATTAAGGTTAAATACACTTAATTTAAGAAATGTTTTCCCTATTTCTAGATTGTTTTTGCAGTGTAGCTCTGACCACAGATCAGTAATGTTGGAAAGTTTTAATAGTTTTAATGTGTTGCTATTGGGCAAGTTGTTCTTACTTTAACATGTCAGCAATGGCGATTTTGCTTCCAGCCATGCTTAGGTGCATAATAGGAACTTCTGGGACAACTTCAGCAACAGCTGATCAGTCATGTGAGTTCATGTGCTAGGTTAGAGCCGATTTTAAAAAGTGTTTCCATCTCCCATTTTGCGCACCGACGCTTTCTGCAAAAGTCAAAAACGGCCTCAAGCCAGCGTAAAAACGTTTTTGTGAATTTTTGCTGTTTCCACCAAGTTTATCTAATGTGATATTTCAAAATGCATTTTAGAAAAAGCTGATAGAATGGTAACTAAAGGTGTGGAGGAAAATATTTTTGTCAGATGAGCCCCGCCCATCATCCTGAGGACACCATCCCCATCTTTTGTTTCCTTTATCTGAAAGGAGTGATTCATCCTTTATCGGGTTGTTGTGTAAATTCTGTCTGCAACTACAATAGCAGACACCTGGAAGCACTTGGCTCTATCCCAGCGTTCTGTTTCGGTCTATAGATTTACTGTTCATATGATTTGTACCATATGGAGTATTGACTGATCTGGAGTTCCTTTTATAATAAAACACAGGATTATGTTCATCCTTAAAATATTTTTCATCCTTGCAACTAAAATGTAGTTTAATACTTTTGATGATCCTATTTTCTTTCATTTAGATACAGATTGATAACTTTTTTTTTTTAGCATGGATGAACTTCCCGCCCTTTTATTGAGCTTAAAGTCAGGAATTCTGGACTCTCTGCAACCTTTCACCTCTGCCAGAGTGTCCACAGCTTTGTGGTTTATGTTTGTTAAAGGTTTCCTTAGTAAGAACGAGTCCTCAGATTTCTGTGTGTCCCTTGAGAGGAAGTGATGGCTCCCAGATTTAATTAGCTTTCACTGAGACAAGGTCACTGCAACCGACAGGAACTTAAGACGTCAACACTTCTTATGCTTTTCCTCAACTCTCTGCTTTTTTACTAACTGCAGACATTTCCAGTTATGTTAGTCTTTTCAACACTTTTTTTTTATTTTCTCCTTTTCTTTTTGAAATCTTTATACATGTGCATGGACACTATTTAAGGAGCCTCATCACTTATTATGACTATTAAAAAAACACAAAAAAAGTTTAATAAAACAATATACACTAAGTGTTTGTCCTGTTCATTTCGAACCTAAAAAGAAATATTGCATCATGCAAAATCAGCAGACATAAACATTGTTTAGTGCCATCTTACCCATTTGGACATTTGAACGTCAGATATAGGCTACTCTAAAATGCCCCTAGGTGGGAGTTTGTGTGTGCATAGTTGTGTGTCTCTGTGTTACCCTTTGATGGACTGGCGGCCTGTCCAGGGTGTACCATGTGTTTTGCACGTTGATAAGCTGCAGAAGATTGATGGTAATTTGAACGATGGCAAATATCCTACGCATTATATAGTGTATAAACTTTTCCATAGCTGTTTCTAAAACCTTTAATGTCGCCTTCCCATCACCAGTTTCTGTATTAGCAAGGCTGATGGTGAGCCATCCATCAACTTGGCAGGGAAATCTGACTGCTTAAACAGTTTTATCTTGTCCTTCAATGAACACCAACAAAAATCGTGCGAATCGTGTCTGATCCCTCTGAGCTTTTTTGTTTTCTTGCACTTTTCCTCTTTCTTGTTGCACCTTTTCTCTGTGTCATCCACTTGCTTGGCTTCATAGCTTCTTCCAGTATTGTACCTTGGGTCACCTGGTCTTGTTGCTCTGTTTAAAATACACAAAGTGCATTGTCCACTAACAAATAGATTAAAATCTAAGAATAAAACACATAAATAGATGATACTAAACCAACAGGGCAGGATAATTTAATAACACATTTGTAAGTCATAGTATGTAACTCGGACCCATACTGTGTAGAGGCTGCTAAGACTTTCAAGCCTAAATAACAGATGTCCAACATGAAACTTTTAGGAAGCTGAAGCTTTTCTTACATTAAAGAGGCGGTTTGCCGTCTAGGGACAAACACTGATGTTGAATTTGCTCTAGTGTGCATCCCTCTGGCCTAATGTCTTTTACAGAGCTGAACTAAGGTTTGTTTTAAAACCCAACTGATCCACGAGCACATCTTAACATCCGCTTATAAAATGTGTAACCACTAGATGGTAATCTTAAACTCCGAAAAAAATCTGATTTTCTTTATTTACTTTAGGCTTTTTTTATATAATTTAAATGGAATATTAACCCTAAAGCCCACCTTTACTCAATCCTGCTGTTATATTTTTTATTGGGGAAAAAAACACGACCAAGTGCACTCAGTTGTGATCACTTATCCTAAGTCAATAGACTTTGGTTAAGTTTTAACATTTACTTCAGTCTTTTAAAGATTAAGGTCAGAGGTCACAGATTGGCGGACCGTGGTCCAGATTCGGACCCACCTGCTGGCTAATCCGGACCAAACCTGATTTAAAACATTTATAAATTACCACATGCTCTCTGACAATCGTGTCTAACTTTACTTGCGCCGCTTCTCCTATTAATATTGTAAAGCCCTCTGGAGCATCCCGGACCAGGCTGCATGTGATCCAGATTAGCCAATGAGCTGTCAGTCTGGGTTGCTGATGTGAGCTACCTTTAGACACAGCAGGCAAACCTTTGGCAAGCCAGGCAATGGGAAAGAAGGAGAAGACGATGAGAAAAAGAAAAGAGAAAGTGTGGACTGCTGGAAGAACTGTGGTGAACTGGTGAAAGAAAAGTGCAATGGTGTGCTAGAAGATGACCCTGCAGATTTTGAGTATGTTTGGATCAACCTGCTGCTGTGAAGCAGGATTCTCCTCCATGAACATAATCAAAAATAAATATCAATCCAGGCTCAAAATGAGCACTCTGATAAGTTCTTTATAATGGCTTTGTCTCGATTTAAACCCAGATTTAAAGCCTTGCAGGGCAGCCTAAAGCCCACTGCTCTTATTAAGCCAGAAAAAAGAAAGAAAAAAACAAACAAGCAGTTTAGGTGTTTTGTAACATATGTGAATCAGGACATCGTCTGTATACCAAACTGTACGATTGTTGTTCTCTACTTCAAAAAACACAAAAAATTTCTATTTTTTTAAGTCAATGTAAAACATAGATTCATAAACACCTGCATTTTATTTCAGTGTTAAATGCTGTTTAAAGTAACAGATCATAATTAAAAATGTCTCCGGACCTTTACTGGTTGGTGATTTTTGTTATTCGGACCCTGGTGATTTTTAATTGGTTACCCCTGGTTTAGGTCCATCTATTTATGTCCTGAGCCTAAATATAATAATATTAATAATTAAACTTAATTGATCTCACATTGGAAAAATTTGCCTCTGCATTTCACCCATCCCCTTGTGGAGCAGTGGGCTGCTATCGTGGGGCGCCTGGGGAGCAGTGTGGGGTTAAGGGTGTTGCTCAGACACCCAGAGTGGCAGTCTGTGGGAGTGGGGCTCGAACTCAGAACCTCTGGATTCAAGCTCTATGCCTGACCAATTATTACTTTAAGACATTATTTTAATTGTTTTGTCACATAAACCTGCATAAAAGTTGAAAAAAATAAACTAATGACCCCAATCAATAGATAGAAAACTCATCCTGGAATTACTGCTAATTTCATTGTGAATCAACAGTCCGCCTCATGGTTCAGTTTCTTACACAGACATGGATTTCTGACTTCCACTCTACATAGACAGCTTGTTATTTTTATGATAAGAACCAAAGGAAATCTCTTTAGTCTCCCTTCTATCTAACAAACAACTGCAGACGGTAAAAATGAGAATTCAAGTCTGCCTTTCTACTCCTGTAGGGAGGCAAGGCTAAAAAATGGTTTAAAGGAGTCTGTTCAACTCAGCTGCTAATGTGCACAAAAGCTCTCTAGACATCTGTTGAAAAAGTCAGAGCTCCTGTGTGTGATTAGCCTGCTAATAAGAAGGCAGGAGAGGTGTTTGTCTTGGAAAATGCTCAAATTCCTTTTGTGCTAAAGTTGCACTTTAACTATGGAAATGTGAAGCCAAAGACTGATGATTTCCTCCCTCTGTTTTTAGGTTTGCATATCTTAATGTTTCTACAAGCCAGTGAATGTGAAGTGCTGCAGGAATAAAGCTGCTTACAGCTGCTGTTTGAACACTCAGATTATCCCAGGTTTTTTTTCTCGGGACAGAAAAGGACCAAATTGGTTTATGTACTTTTATTTCAGGGCAGATGTTTGAGAGCTGAATAAAATGAAACACTAACCACTTGCAGATTTCTGGTGATGATTGCCAAACACGTGCCGTTTCACTTATTCCAGAGCATAATATGCTACTGGCATGTTGTGTAAAGTAGTACTGTTGGCACAAAATCATCACCCTGTGATCGGATACTTACAGGATGAGTGCCAGACCACTATTTACTCAGAGAAAACACTTTATTCTAATGCCATTTTTTTAGGCAAAACATTAAAAGTAGTTTCAGCTCACACTTGTCGCTCAAACCTCCTTCTTTCCTGCTGATTTTTGCTCGGCTCTGTGACCCTTGGAACCGCCCAGCATGTCCTCTTTGTGCTGCGGAATTATCCATAAATAAAAGGAATGCAGTCAGGAAGCAACTTGGGCTCAAGAATGCAAACTTGATAGAAATCAGGTGATAGTTTGTGAACGCCAGAAAAACAACTGTAGACTCACTATGAGGGATTTTTTAAAAACGTGTAATCCTCCAATCAAGTGCACTTAAATCTTATCTGTCACTGAAATGATTACATCTAATTAGAGTACAGGAAGCAACATGTTGGTTTTTTTCCCTGGAGATAAAAATACTGTATTATCTACTTTATGCATGTCTATTTCTATCTTCCTAATGCATTTCTCTCATTCCAAGGTTTTAATTTAGTTCTAATCCTATTTCAGAACTATGGAGTGGAAACGGATAACCTGAAGAATCTTGTTGTGAGGATGAGAGCTGCCAGCAGCAGTCTACGCATTGCTACGAACGATCGCAGGAAAAGCCCCCCGTCCGAGGGAAGCATGACCCGCAAGCCACCGAATGATTTCCTCACTTCTGTGGTGGAGCTAATTGGTGCTGCAAAGAGCCTTCTGGCTTGGCTTGACAGGTGACTGCAGTCTATTACGCCTGGGTATTAGATCAGATATCAGGACGTCTGGCATTAAAACACACCTTTAAATAGCTGAAAATATGGGAAATGCACTTATTTTGCTGCAAAACTAGGTTTCAAATATAATAAAATGTTTGTGTTGGATTTGAGCTTGCATCTTCTCTTACAATCACAACTAGAGATACAAAGAAGTATTTGCTTCTAAGAAAAGTAGATTTTCCCTTAATCTGATTTTGACTATCAGTGAATGCTACAGTTCATGAGCTTTACCAGGTCGTCCTGGCAACACTCTTTAGTGTGGCGATTGTTTCTGACTGAAGATCCACTAGAGACAATTTATACTGTTGAGTCATATAAGGACGAGCTCTGAGGCATTTTTTTTTTATTTCAAGTACTGCTTGATTGATTCAGACTGTTAGCGAGTGAGAGAGCACAGGGCTTCAACAGATAATAAGAAGGCTACGTGAAATTAAGTGTTTTAGATTCTAACTCGTGTTGTAGATCTGTAAATCTTTGAGTTAAGGTAAAAAGAAAAATATTCTTTGGAAGATATACATAGGGGCTACAAATTTTATGACGGAAATGATATGACTTAAAAATCTATTTTCCAATTTCTAACTTGAGTTTCATGATAAAAAAATAACATAGATATTTTATTTTTGTCGTCCCCTCTGACAGGTGACCATAATATAAAGAGCAACAAATTTCAAACTGTTAAAAATGATGTAAAACCATATTATTTCAGAACAAACAATGAAAATATAAAATAATATTTACTGCCCGAAGAGCGGATCGGTGGGAGAAAAAAAAATCCAGATTTTCCAAAAATGAAATCTTCATTAAATAAAAAATTTAGGTTAATCCAATAAATTGATTAGTTGCCCAGAGTTCATTTAAACCATATGTTAACCTGGTTTATTTCTCATAAACTGTTTAAAAGTCAGTCTTTAATAACTCTGCTTTTGCAGCCACTGCTGTTTTACAGTTCCAACCACTGCTGCTGCTATAAATACTTAAAGTCTGCTTAAATAAAAAGGCTCACATCATTTTTCAGTGTTTTTAATGCTGTTTTTCAGTTTTAGATTTAGAAAGGTCCACCGTCCAGCTTCGTAAGGTCATGGCTTTACCTAAGTCTGGATCTTGGCACTAAATTTTGTGATGTACAGAGCTGCAGTTCACTGTGTATGCAGATGACTGCATCCTCTCCAATTAACGTCCTCCAAAGCACTTTATGTTTTAAAAGTACAGCTAATTAAGTCCAAATTATTGCGGTGTAAAAAAAAAAATTAATAGGTGCTATAGATAGTTTTTTTTTTGTGTGTGTGTGTGTGTGTGTGTGTGTTAATCTGAAAATAGATTTAGTTCTTAATTTTTATTGTTGTTTTGGTACCTCTTGGTAGCAAAAATTATCCGGTACAACACTTGTTGGCTTTTTATATATGTCCCAAAATTGTTTTTTTTCCTTCAATAGATACAAGAAAGTTTTATTTTATTGTCTCCTTTTTTTAACAACAGAGGTGTGTAGCATTCCTCTGCTTAAACTAATTATTCTCCTGAAACAACATCAAGTCAAATGTAAGCATCACAGATACTAGAAAAAAAATGGCTTCCTGTAGCATTCAATGAGCCCTAACTCCATACGTCCTTTCACATGCACTCAGACACCTCAGATGATGAGATGGGATTTTCTGAACAGCTGCCATACAGCTGGAACACTTTATAGTTTAAATATCAAAACAACTCTAAAGTCAATCCAATATGTTTTATTTTTAAATATAGGCTAAATCTTTTTAAAACATGTCTAAATATCCAACTGATTTTCTTGTTTGTTTCCGGGACATTTGTTTTTCAATCGCTCACTCATGTTTCTTTTTCCCCCCTCTTATTATAGGACGCCTCTCACCGGGATCAGCGACTTCACTGCTACCAAGAACAAGATCATCCAGCTGTGCCTGGAGTTAACCACCACAGTTCAGCAGGTCTGCATGCTAAGAAACACATATGTAACCAGGACCATGAAAACCAGCACATAATAGCTTTTTTCCACTGAGCACACTTTAATCCACAGGCACAGACATGCTCAATAAAAGAGTGTTGGGGGAAATAAAGTCTGGCAGCCATGACACACGCCTGAAGCCAGCAGTCTGAGTGCATTATTACAGGAGCCAATGTTTTTCTAAGGACCTTTTTCCTCCTCATGCTGGCTAATGAGGTGACCCACCTCCCAGTAAGGGGTTGTTTATGTGTTGTTTTTCTTTTTTGCTTTGTCTTTTCAGTTTCATAAAACTTCATTTGGGTTCTTTTAAAGGAGGCTGCCAATCTTCCTCAGGCTACTCCTCTTTCAGCCATGTGTTCTTCTGCAGCTTCCAACCCTCTTATTTAAGCTCAATCTTAGGGGCAGCCTTCTCCTTCTTCATACTAGACAGCATCTAGCAGCTGTTTGCCTTATTATATTGCACAGATTTCTTTAGATTGCATGTATAGCCACCATTTTATCCTTTAAGTGTTTGCATTGGGTGGTTTATACTCCTTGTGAACATGACTGCTAAGACTCCAGGTGTCATTTTAGAGGGTTTCTGCTTTAAAATAAATTCCTTTCCCAGAGTACCCATTTCTTCGCCAGAGTCTGAGATTTCAGCACCTCTGCTGATTTATTGTGGTGAACCCGGTCATGGTTATCGAGGAGAAGTGGGGGTATACGTTTCCCACACTGGGGCTGATAGTCTCAGAGGCTTTTAGCGATTCATTTTCTCTCATGGCATGATCAGAGAAGCAGTTTAGTCAATAAATGCAGCATATAGCAAGACACTAATTTCATTTTTTTAATGTAAACTGACATGGCTACTTTCGACTTTCTCTCTTTAACCTGAATTATCAGACCACAGCTTGATAAATTTGGTTGCACACCAAATGGCCTGGACCATTAAATAATTGACTGAATTTTTTTTTCCTATTACAGTTGTCATCTAACTTCTGACAAGTGAAATCAAAAAAGAAATTTTGTATAAGTGAAATTAGATCCATTGGTTGCATCAAATTTGATACATAAGGCATTTCTCTATAATCTTTTAAACGTTTTCTGTTCCCTACATGCTTCTTATTGTGTAAGTCAGGGTTTTCAAGTGTAAAAATATAACACTAATGATGTAGAGGTCTCAAAAACTCATGTATCAAATATGATATAAGTGGCTTTAAAGGGTTAGATTTGAGCTTTTTAGATCAAGCAATGTATGTGCTGCTGTGCTTGAGTGTCCCTGAAATGTGGACACAGCGATGCAGGGAGACATCTTTATCTGACAGAGGGGATGTCGTTGGTTTTCAAAGAGGAGACTTTTTTATTCTTCCTGCTTTTAACTACAATGCAGCTTTTAGTGATATTTATACATTTTTGTGTCAAAAGAATTAAGTTACAATGTGTAAGAGGAAATAATAATTATAAATCAACAGAGAGCAAAGCTACAAAACCACAAATTATGTTTGGCATGCAGTTTCAAAGCATAACCCCGGCCACCCAGGACACATATATCACCACCACTTATCTCACATGCTTGTACCAGATGAATAATAGAAAGTCAGGTTGGAAATATCTGGATTGTGTGTTTTTCACTGCCTCTCACTAACTTTATTGCTCGCCCATTCTGCTAGCGGATCAAAGCTGCACACAGGGTCACCTGATCCACGCTGGTTATGGGAGTAGGACCGTAATCTGAGGGATCAGTGCACCCTGGGAATCGTTCCTCTGCGTCTCACAGTGCTTAGTTACGAGCCTGCCCCCTTCTATTTGGTTTTATTTTTGTGATAAGGCAATGGTTCAGTAAATGTTTGATGGCAGACAGACCAGCTTATATCTGCAGCCTATAATTAAAATGTTTTTGTTTCAAGATCTCTTGAAACGTGTGTTCTTGTCCATTCCTTTTGGCTGAGTGGGACGTGTTTTCGTCCAAACATGGGCCTCATTCTTTAAAGAAATATGCAGCTGCTTGTTTATGCAAGCGTGGCTGGATTCTTTCTGAAACCACCATATATTGTAGGCAGACATTAGATGATTTTAGTACCAAAGCATGTCTGATAAAAAATGGGCTGTGATGGTTATTTTCTAACATTTAATTTCCCTTTAAATAAGGAAAATATAGAAACATTCTAATTACAAACTTATGATCTCTTTTAAATAATTTAACTATAAGAAAACTTCTACCACATACGGTCAAGCGGTTCATGTCAGTGCAAACAAAGCAGAGTGCCTTTTCAAACAGATGCTGCCCTGTGGAATGTGCAAAGCTATGGAAATACAGAGAAATGTTCTGGATCCCCCATCATTGTCTACACAATGTAGACAATGTCTTTTGTCCTTGGTACCGGTACATGCCCGCATACCTCATGACAACCCCTTGTTTAGTTGACAGTAGTTTGTGGCTTTTAATGAGTTTGTAGAAATAAGAGATTTGGTAAAGTAAAACTATTTTTTCTATGTCTTTTAATCTGAATCTGGCAAAAATGTGCCCAGTAATGTGAACAAAGACTTCCACTGTGGTGTTAGTTAAAAGGGATAAGGATATATGCATCGTATAGCTGGATTGGATACTGACTAATCAACTGGATCCAATATCGTTGATTTGACACCAGATATGTGAGATCCAACCCAGGATACTTTACATGGAACTGTTATTTCTTTTTTTTTATTATTATTTCTTAATACATAATATAAAGTACATTTATATCCATGTTAATTTGTTACCTTGTTTAATAATGATTATGTCAAGGCTAAAGCCTGCACTCAATTGCCAAGATATATGGTTCTTGCATTTAAAAGCTTGATCGGTATCGGATATTGGCAATTACGCTCAGCCCAGGTATCGATATTGAATTAGATCACTGCATCTATATTGAAAATAGAAAGAAAATCCTGCACAAGTAATATAATGCAGCCTCAAGAGGATATAATACATGTATATGATATAAAATTAGTTTTCAAAAGGAATTACAGAAACTTTGATATCTAAGCAATAGATATAACATCTTTATCTCCTGCTTAAACAAGTTAAACAACATTGCCTCTACATGTAAGCAGAAAACCAAAATGGTGTCCATACTTTTGGAATGACCATATCTCAGACTACGGTCAAACATTTTCCTCTTGCTGTTGTTTTAATGTTGTCAGTATATCAGTTTGAAAATCTGACTCCAGAGCTCTAAAATCAACCATGGAGATTCGTCTGCAATAATTATGGCATCCACTAAATGTAGGCAAAGGGGCAATTTTATGTTGCAAGCTGTTTATTTGTGGGTCTTCTCCATTTATCTTACTTCTATATATGGGGTTCTGATTATATCGTAATTATTTGAAGCATATACTTTTTCTCTGTCTTTCTCTTTCCAGTCACCGGATTTCATGTCTCTTTTTCTGCTGTTTACTTCTTGTAAGTTTAATCTGTTGTCTGTTTCTTCTGCAACAGGACTGCAGCATTTATGAGATGGAAGAAAAGATCCTGGAAGTTGTAAGTATCTTTTATCTCCTCCTTAAGATAAAAAAGAAAAATGAGAACCTCAGTTCCAATATGCAAGGTTCTAATGCAGAAAAGGCCTCCATGTTTCTTTCACCATAGAGATTGTGTGACAACCTTTCAGCAGCTGGGTCATTTACTGAATGCAAAGAGCAGACAGGTCTGTAGGATTACTAGGAGAGGGGGCGGCTCTAATATACCGCAACCATCAATCAGTGTTTCCTGTTGCTGAAACTCTGCAGACTCTTTGGACTTAATGCAGGCTTCAATTGTTGCCTTTCAATTTCCTCAAATTTTCTTATGTTCCCCTTTTCTTTCCACCCCCTTTCTTAGCCACTTCTGTTTTCCCATTTTTCCTTATTCTTCATCCTCTTTTTTTTTTCATTTTACACTTTTTTCCAAAGCTGTTTTCTTTCTTTCTTTGTCGCTGTCAAGAGGTCAAATTCAAAGAAAAGGGTTGTGCAAAATTTGAATGTGGCATTCTAATAAATATGCCTATAAATATAATAGAATATCAAATCAAATTTATTTGTATAGCCCTTTACAATGGCCAAATGGTACCCAAAGTGCTTTAAAACAAAGCCATAAAACATTACATAACACATATAAAACATACAAGATACAATTAAAAGTGCTGTAGTGGTGCAGTGCTGCAGGACATTAAAAGCCTTCCAGAGGTGCATAGAAAGGAGCACATAGAAAGATGACATCTAAGAGACAGTATTATCCTAGTCAGAATTAAAAGCTAATTTAAAAAAGTGGGTTTTAAGCTTTAAAAAAAAAAAAGGCTGAGGTCAGTAATGGTGCGGATGTCAGGGGGTAGTTTGTTCCACAGTCTGGGAGCAGCGACGGCAAAAGAACGATCGCCCCACTGTTTGAGTCTTGACCTAGGGACCTCTAACAGAAGCTGACCGGAGGAGCGTAAAGCTCTGCAACAATTGCGAAAAGTTAAAATCTCAGACAAGTAAGAGGGAGCCAAGCCATGGATGGCGTTAAAAATAAACAGCAGAAGTTTAAAATCAATTCTAAAACGGACTGGTAGCCAGTGGAGTGACGACAGCACAGGAGTAATGTGTTCACGTCTGGACTTCATATAGACAAAAAAAGGTTTAATTCTGTCATTACATTCAATTCAATTTTAGTAATTATGCTTACACCTAAGGAAATGAATAACGCATAGGATATAGTCAAGTAAACAGTCTTCCTAGGGATTGTTTCGGCCATAATGTAGCATTTTAAATACAAAATCTTTCTTTTATAAAGTGCACAAGTTATTTTGAACAAAATAAGTTTAGGGGTTTCTTTCGATTTATGTCTCAATCATTAAAATAAAATTGTAGAAATGTATCTCTCGATGTGCAATATATAGATATACTGCGTGGAGTAAATAGATAGAGCATTAGTATTCATTTTTAAAATTTATTTACTTGAATAGTTTACAATTTCAATGATAATCTACTTTATTGAGATGGTCGCTCTAGTTCAACTACATTAGCTCCAAATGCTACCAACTGTTATAATATCATATGTAAGAATTTAACTAAAGTCTTGGGCTTCAATGTAAAACTATTGACTCCTTTGGTCGTTCCTTTTCCTGTGCAGTCCAAGACTTTGAACGACATCTGCGATCAGACCGTGAGAACCACATCAGACCCCCTCATGAGCCAGTCTGCCTGTCTGGAGGAAGTCCAGCTGACCAACATCAAACCAGGCGAGGGGCTGGTGAGGAATTCATATTCTGTTTCTCTGAATTTCCTCCCCAGGAATGTATGAAATGCATGTCAGATTGTGGCCTTCCTCCTTCTTCGTCATCGATTTGTCTTCCTCCGGGAATATTGTGTTTAAACCACGACCACAATTAAAGTTTTTGGTGTTTGTTTTTCAACCAAGGGAATGTACATCAAGTCGACGTACGACGGTCTGCATGTCATCACTGGAACCACAGAACATGTAAGTATAACAGTAAACTTCAGTAATTCAGTCTTTTTCTTTTCCTAGACCTTCTCTGCTGTGGAGCAGTTAAAGAATTCAAATGTGGAGGAGATAAAGATCGTGTGAAGGGAATTGTTTGTGTCTTGATTGAAAAGATCGTGTCTCTAACAACCTCTGCAAGAAAGCCTACCTTTTTTTTTTTTTACCCACACTGTAACAACAAACCAGTGACTAATGCATGATGAGAATCACATTCGCAGTGAGATCTTAACACCTACAATCTCTAAATCTGAATCAGAACTTGAGTCATAACAGATGATGACAAGTTAGTCCCTTCTGGCCTTGAAGTGACGTGAGAAACAATAAACTTGTATCCCTAGAAAAAAGACAGTTTACTGTGAATGTTTTATTTTTTTTTATACTTTGTTCAACTAATTCCTGCTTATATTTGCTTTTTAGTCTCCTGCTGACCTTTCAAGGAAGATCCATGCGGGTGATGAAGTGATTCAAGTCAACCAGCAAACAGTGGTGAGCTTCATTTCTGTGATTCCAAACGGAGTCCAAAGTGTAATAATAGTAATTATTATAATTTAGGATGTAAATAACAAATGTTTTTTTCATCTTATTATATCTAAGTTGGTGTTACTGTTTTAGTCATCTGGGGTTTAAAGATCACATGTGGTGTTCCCCAAGGCTCCCTTCTTGGCCTACCTTTTCTTAGATATTCAGATTATGGATTCTTGCCACATATCTTACAATAATTAGGCTGATGTAACAAAGATTAATATTTTAGGGAAACCACATGACCTCGGCCTCTTGAGGCTGATTTATGCTAAGAAACCATGTTTTCTGCGTATGTGTCGGTGAACCCAAATGTGCCTTCGCCCCTTCTGCAGACACTCTGCTGCACCTCTCCAAAATTATATGTGACCGCAGACTGTAGGCCTCTGATTGGTCAAATCTACATCCACTCCACACCATGCTCTACGAGGTGCGCAGGAATGCTGAGACCCTTTTTCCACCTGGATCCCCCCTCTTTTTCGCCCTCATGTCCCTCCGTTGTCGCACAAACTTGCCCCCGCTTCCTCACTTTCCCTCTTGTGTTGTGGCTTGGATAACGACACATAGCGCAGACAAGGTTTCAATATTGGGCGTAAATCAAAAATATCTGTGACAAGCTCACTGCGACACACTGCTGTGGGATTTATAACCAGCCCTTTATGGTTGCAGAGTAAGCATCAGTCGGTCTTTGGAAAGGTCTGGATTTCTTCGTTTTGTCCCAAATTTGCAGTGTTGAAGAGTCACACTTAATTACCCTCAATTAGGTAAATGGCCTGTACTTATATAGCACGTTTTCAAGTCAGGAGACTTGACCTAAGCACTTTACACTACATTCAGTCACTACCCATTCACGCACATACTCACACACTGATGATGACAAACTACATTGTAGCCACAGCTGTCCTGGGGCTCACTGACAAACAACCGGTGCCACCGGGCCTTCTGACCACCATCACTGACAACCCTCCGATTGCAGGGCAGCCTCCTGCACCCGACGCTACTGACGCGGCGGAAATACAGCAAACCGAGGTGTTGCAATGGGCTTAGATGTACATATTATATTCCTATAAAGTTTATTGCTGAATTCCCATTACTGTTTACAGCAGATTAGCTGTCATCATATCACATCCTTGGTCATTTTTTTATTTTTGGTCATAGGTAACATCAATATTTTTTTCATATTGTATTTCTTGGCTTGAATAGAACCTTTGTTCCTTTGTTTTTCAGTAAAGAACGTTGAATTACTTTGCACATAGATGATGCAATACTGAACTAAGTTTCTTTGCACTGTTGACCAGGTTGGCTGGCTGCTGAAAAACCTTGTTTTCAAACTGAGAGAGGACCCCAAAGGTGTTGTTTTACTACTGAAGAAGAGGCCGACGGGCACTTCGAGTTTCACCCCTGCCCCGCTTAAGAACATGCGCTGGAAGCCCCCTGTACCTCAGGTGAATACTCACACATGCATTTCATTCTACATGGCTGGCTAATAAGCATCGACTAATTGTTAGCTCTTTCGGGAGCTGGTTCCAAAATCAGCATGTTCAGACAAGAGCCACCCTGAGAGCCCTGCTGGCTGAACTGAATACCCCATTGAGCTTTATCTTTAGGTGCAACAAAAGAGGAAAAGAAACTCCCATGATGTCATTCAGTCTGGGAGATAAAGCCATAGGATTTGAGTCTGATTCACTTTTTTTTTCTTTTTTTTTTCTTTTTTTTTCAGTGAACAAAAATCACCCCGATATTAAAATTTTGGGTTAGATGGAATTTATGGAGGAAATTTGGTGAAGAAGCACCCCTCATGCACCTTTCTGTTCTTTTTTTTTGTAAGATTTGTTTCATATAGTGAATATAATTTAAAATACATCCTGAGTAAATATATAATACTGTTTTCTAATGATTTTATTTCTAAAAAAAAAAGGAATCTGAACCAGCTTGGTTCTACATGACAGAGTAATTGCTTCCTAGATCCTAATAAACGATTGACCCCCCTGTTAACAATGGCTTTTTTTGTAATAAGTAGTAGTGAGTCTTTAAAACTGCTGTGGAGGAGGAAGTGTTTTGAGCATGAACTGCCTGATTGAGGTTTTACCTCAAAGCAAAGTCCAGAATTTGACACTTCAGAACATAACTGCTGCGTTTTGGATCATCTTTAGACACTCAATTGCTGTTGAACTTGAGGTCAGGAACTGATGGCCGGACATTCTCTGTGACCATTTCCTCCTAGAGAAAAGAATGAGTGTTTGCATCAGTTGTGGCAGGTTGCCTTGAAAAAGAAAGCATTGCACTCAAAGACAAAAGCCCCACCAATATGAGGGAAGCCTTATTGGTCAGTGGTTTTTACCTCCATGTTTTCATAGATGCTGTTTCGGGTTAGATTCTGCTGAGGTTTTCTGAGACCTGATGTGCTTTACATGCGTTCTTATTGTGGCTGATTTATACACATGAGATCCTGAGGTAATTTTAGCAGACTGACACCTCTAAGGGACATTCACTATTGTTCCATTTTTTCCATTTATGGATAATGGCTCCTGCTGTGTTTAACTAAAGTCCCCAAATCATAGAAATGGGTTTTAAACCTTACCCTAACTGGTTGATGCTGATGACTTTCCAATTTGTTCTAGTTAAACGTGGCTTTAAGATCCTGCATGTTGTCAATAAGGCTTAGTTAAAGTGATTTCTTGGTCCAATTGTTTCTGGGAGGAGGAGAACTCACCTTTCCAAAAAAATGTTTTATTCACCTTTAATTCTTTATTTACTAATTAGAGGATACACTTTTTTTCCCCATCAGTCAGGTTTGTTTTTTTTAGCTTTCCCTTCATGACTTAAATAATAATGTTAAACGTGTTACAGTATTCTAAAACATTTATACGGTGATTAATTGATTACTGAATAAAATTGTCAACTAATTTAGTAATCGATTAATCATTAAAAAGAGTATAGAGACCGTGACATATGGCTTTAGCAGACAGAGCGACCAACTTAGAGCAGCATTTATTCCAACTTTTAAAAAATATATATACCGTATATAAACATTTTGCATTTAAGATAAAAACAATCTTTCCTGTCTGTCAATATGCTCTATCCAGAATTCCTCAAGTGGAACACATTGAGTTTCACCTGGTTTAATTTCACAAAAGGTCTTCTTTAAGGAACCTTTTGCTATTTGATTATTAATCGATTAATTAGGAAATATAATCCACAGACTAATGGATTTGCAAAAAAAAAAAAAAAGTTGCAGCCCTAGTCTCATTATTTTGTTGTAATCTGACACATTTAAGAGTGGAAACAAAATCACACAAAGAGCAAATATCACAATATGTATGCGAGAAAAAAGACCTTTCTTCTACACCTTGTGAAAACCACCAGCCTCGGCTTACAGTGATGCTATCTTTGTGTCTAAATCCTGTTTTAACAGAGAGGCCTCCTGTAATCCTAAACTTCCAGTTTTCCCACTGTGGAGCTGTGTCTTCATGCATAGCCTGTTTTATAACCTGAGAGACCAAGACGAGATGAGAGTAGATTTGGTATCTTGAAACAGCAGAGAGGGATTCAGGAAACAATGGGGGCCATAAACACCGGCATCTTGTTTTAACAAGTTCTGCAGGAAATCGGTGTTGGACATCTCTGCTTATCTGCTTATAGTAAGACTTCAAACCCAAACAGACGAGTCTTTCTGCTTGATTCAACAAGGACTTAGTGAACTTTACTATATACTTTGTTAGAGTCTAACACAAACCCTCAATGAGAATCTCTATTAATGTTATTTTATTATTGTAACAATTACTGAGTAACATGAACAGCTTTTCCAATTACAGCCTGAGAACTACAGAAAATAAAAGCCAAATATTTAGTTGTTGAGCGTCGAGAAACATAACTGTGGTAAATGATTGAAGGTCTTACAGACATTTTTAGACTTCATTTACAATCTTTCCATACCTCAAGCAAGAAAATTTATACTTGGAGACACACATAAGCACTTAAATGTCTCACCACATATGTAGAGCCCCTCCCCTTTCGCCACAAAGTTATATTTAGGCGTTATTTAAAAAAGGAAGAGACTTGTGAAAAAAAAACCTTAAAGCAAACTCTTTGTCTTTGATTGCGATTGAAGCTGGGTTTTTATTTGGATTGCACTGTGTTATTATTGTGTAATTACCTTTTCATTATTTGTTTTTCAGAATAATTCCTCCCTGATCAGATCCCAGTCCCCCTCCAGTTCGGCTAATGGATCCACTAAAAAGGAGAAGCCAGCCATTACGGACTTGTACATTCCTCCACCGCCTCAGATGCCGTACACTCCACGGTGAGCATCTGAGCAGATCTGCTAACTTCTATTTAAAAAGCGAGGCCTGGAAAATTCAGAGAATTAATGTCAGTGTTTCCCGGGTCTTGATTAGTATAAAAAAATAAAATAAAAGAACAGAAAATATGTTTTTTTAAGACTGTATTACTTGATTTCTTCCTCAGGTCCTTCCTTTCTCCTTTTTACCTTTTGTGTCAAACCTCAGTTCTTCCTTCCTCCTGTCTCTGTTTTCTTGTGTCCATCATGCCTTCTTCCCTTGTCATCCCTTTCTTCCTTACGCCGAGCGTACACTGATGGATTTTTTCAATTGTTGCACGCAGCTAAAGTTCACACTGTATGACGAAACCGCATGGTGTAAAAGTTCACAGCTCACAATGCATGTTCTCACACCGTGGGGCCCGACGCTCTGATGCGATCTACCTGCTCACACTGTACGTCTAAAAACCACATCGGACTCAGCTCCGCATTGAGATGGCGCTACTTGGACTCATCTATCCGGAAGCTAAATGAGTAGAAGAAGAATATGAAGCTCACTAGAGTGAAATGCGCTGCCTTGGCAATTTGTGCAATTTTGCAATTTTTCAAAGCTCAAAACAGAAAAGGCAACGACATATTTGGATAAAGACATTGCTGAGCAAACGTGGCTACTATGGTCTGTCAATTTTACAGAAAGAACTCCATTTCACTCGCACCCCAGCCATGATTTTGTATTTGCATCTGAGAGGAAGAACAAGAAGAAGAATCCTTGTTTGCACAGTGAGTGATTTGCCCACGACAGGCAACTGAAAATCAACATGACCTCACAATTCCTGATCGGGAGGTGGTCGTTAGAGGCTGATGGACCCTCGTTACCTCCTGTGCGCTACATGACGAACAACGCAGACGATCAGGCTGAAAGTCGGCCCGATCTAAAAATTCTTGCGCAACTGGAAAGGCAGCCCAAAAAGGGCAACAAAAAAAATTGCACAGTTTCAGCCTGACTTTATTTGGTTACATCTTGACCCTATTTCCTTCCTTGTCATTACCTTGATTCCTTCTTTCTGTCCTTACTAGTGTCCTACCTCACTTCTTTTCCTTTATCCTTCCATGTTTCATTCCTTCCATAATACCCAGTTTCTGTCATTTTTAGTGGGTCCCTGCTTCCTCTCTCTGTTAGCATATCCTACTTCTATCTGAACCATCTTCTTGGTGACTTTAAAGGGGTATTAGAATGATTCTATAGGGTATTTGGTGCTGGTCTTTAAGGTCTCAGAATAGGGTGGTTAACATTGGTTGGGCTGAAAATGGCATATTCGCTGTTCTATGAGCTCTAATGCAAGCTTGGTTAAAAGCCCTAGAATGAAACGACATGTTTCCTTCCTTTTATGGTATTCTCAAGGCAACATCCCCGAGTTTACGTCGACTTTGGGCTACATTTAGATTCTCTCGTTTTATGGTGGAAGTTTAGAATTGTGAGTGAATGAAGTACAATGTAAACTCGGTTTTGCATTCTATGACCCCTTTAAGCATTTTAGCATCCGCTCATTTATTCAATCTGCTGGGTTTCCTTTTGAAAACATTTGAAAACAATCAAATCGGTCTCTGTGATTTGATTAAATTGACTCTATAAAGTGTCTGGAGATGACGTGTTGGGAATTAGTTTTATGTTCTGGAATGAGACTGAAAATTGGATGGTTGATTCTAGAATTTTAACATAAAATATTCACTTTGCATCAGAGATTGCTGAAACATAAGGCATGCCAAAAGTATCTTGAATTATTTTTTTTTCTAAATCGGGCATTTTTGCAGCTAAAGCATAAATAGTAGACCACAGTCAAGTTTTCACCTCACCTCTTCTTTATCACAACATATTCTCCTCTTTTCATCTTCAGCCCACTCTCCATCCCACACTAGCCTTTACATCATGACTATTTCATATCTTTGACAAAATACCTCATGGTGTTCAACCCTCATTAAAGACAAAGGGAATTTTTTTTACATACACTTTTATCTGTATTTCACTTGCTAAAGATCTGTTCATGTCCCGTTGTTTCCAGATCTTTCTAATCATGTTTAGCATCTTTTTCTGTACTCTGAAGCCAGAGATGTGGGTTGTGAGCTGTGATTAATAAGCAAACATTTGTCCCTGCCTGCAGAGAGTTGAGGACAGACTCCCTCTCCAGCGTTTGTAAAAGACCAAAGGGCTCTGAGTCACCCAACTCCTTCTTGGACCAGGAGAGCAGAAAACGCAACACCATCCAAGATTATGACAAGTTGAGCCCTGGCTGTCCAATCGAAGCCAACGTGATCCAGCCCAGGATGAGGGAGCATAAAGCTTCACGCGGTAAGGATCTTTTAAAACATCCTTCTTACATTTGCTGAGTCAGAATTCTTTGAAAGTGGAGCTTTTTTTTTTTTTTTTAATCTGACATTCTTTTCTCAAGGTAAGCCCCGGCCGCTGTCGATGCCCGCAGACACATGTGTAGCGGTAATGGACACGTACGCCAAGCCCTGGGCACATGGCAGAAAAGGTAAGCACAGATTCGTCTCAAAGCTCATCTGCCTGGCTGTGTGTTTCCTGGATGGGGCCGCCTTTTACAGTTGCTTTTTGTATCTATGCTTCTTTTTCTATGTCTGCTTCTGTCTCCTTGAACCCCAGTCAGCCTCGGCAGATGGCCGCTCACACTGAGCCTGGTTCTGCTGGAGGTTTCTTCCTGTTAAAAGGGAGTTTTTCCTCTCCGCTGTCGCTACAAGCATGCTAGAACCCTGAATTGAATTATTTTTGGTTAAAATGATACCTGGCAGTGAACTGATGTCTTCTTCCCTTAGGTGAGGATCTGCTGTACAGATACCTCAGTAACGAGCGGATTCCCACCATTGCCGAAGAGGTCCCATCGGCGTCCTCCGCCTACAGGCCAGCGAGGGAACGTCAGCTGGTCCGAGTGGACCGCATCCGACACAGCTGCTACTATTCGAACTCAGACCTCCACAACAGCGCCACCATCCCCTACCAGGAGGACATGAAAAAGGCCTCAGTTAGCCCCAACTCAAAGCGCACACCGGCAGAGCGCTCACTACTGGTCAGTTGGATCACGCGGCTTAAGCTGTTGACTCACTGATGATGTGCTTCCTGTGCCGGGGCTTCCTATCCCTGTCCTGTGTTCTTCCTCAGTGCCTTCAGTGTTTTATCATCAAGCAGTTTCGGGCTCTCTCGCTCTCCTTTCTGACCCCAAACCTCCATATTCTCATGGTTTAATGGCTACTACCAACTACTACTACTACTTCTCCGCAAACAACCATGCTTTTGTAGTTCTCACTACATTAGGTCATTGCCTCTTTAACCCCTCCCTAAACCCTGATGTCAGACTAGAAAACTCCTGTTAACTCAGGTTTAAAAAAAATCTTGGCCTTGTTCTCTTTACAGACTTCTGTGTACATATTTAAGTTATGTCATTTTTTCCGTTAAGATGTTTTCTGGTATAAATATTTAACCACTGAAGTTAGTCTTTAGTTATGTGATTCTTTTGGTTTTGATTTTTGAATATAGAAAAATTGTTCACAAAACTGCTTTTGAATTGATGACATTACTTTCAAAAATAATAATGTTTAGTCTTGTGAGGAGATTTTTTTTTTTATTTCTACCTACTGATTTCTTCTGCCTTTGGTTTTTTTGTAATTTCAGTATTTGGGAGCATAAAATAAATCCTAATATCAGACAAGAAAAATCATTATTATTTTGTTAAAAAGACCTAAATTAAGTTTTTCCCTCCCCAAAAAAAGTAAGCGTACTATAATATATTTTGTTAAAGGTTAATCATGTACTTCCTCAGAAAAATCGTTTTGTTTTATCACTCGATCTGCGCCGGAAATGAGATCCTGCACTATTTCCGTGAGCTAACTTGTTTGGCTTTGGATTTAAACATAAACCTAGTCTTTTTTAGTTTTATGTTTTCCATTCCTGATAACATTGTGGAATATAGTGCGTGATCTAAAGAAAGAAAAACTAAAATGCAGATAAACATTTGACTGCTTTGAGAATGTCCCATGATGATGTCAGACAAGCAATTTAACTGAAAAAATGTAAAAAGCATCAAAATTGTCTCACAAAAGTCATGAAACATTTTTTTAAAGATGTGTATTCACATTCTGTAGAGAGTTATGGATAATCACAGCTCTATGGAGCAGTATCAGACTCATATTCTGACTAGAATTGAGTAGGACTATGTCAGGCTACATTTCTTCTAGTACAACCCTCCCTCCTCCTCTTGCCTGCCAAACTGCAACCTGATAGTAATACTGCAGCTACAGAACTTCCGGGAGCCAAAAATTGTTATAAAAAAAAAAAAAATCAATTTAATTCTTTTAAAATCCTCGACAACAACAATTTTGAATTAATTAATTAGTCCCAGAGTAGTCACAGAGTAAAAAATTAGGATTTGAAAGGGAGTTTTGGGATTTTGTTTAGATCAGGCAGACAGCTTCTTTTCAAATTATGTCTAAAAAAAGATGCCTAACTCACGTTTTAATATGGGGGTAAATATTTTTCGCAATGGGCCAGGCTAATTTAGATGGTTATTTCTTGTCATTAGTCTAATCATCATGTGAAAATGGCTTTTTGCATTTACTGAAGCTTTATTTGACAATTGGATCTCAAGTATTTGAGAATGACGAAGAAACAAAAAAGGAAGAAATCAGTATGGTATCCGAAGCGTTTTCACATCACTGTACTTTACAGTCTGCCACATTGCCTCTTGTAAGCTATGCATAAAAGCTCTGCAGTCAACCAAGCTCACCGTACTGCACTGGTTTTTGATGTTTACATATATATTAATAAGCAAATATTTGTGCATATTTAAAACTATGCACATGGATTTTTAGTTTAGGCTACAGTTTCAAACATGGGTCTGAGTACCGTCTGATGGATTGCTCTGGACAAGAAGAAAAGGAATGTCAGTATTATTTAAAGACTCAAAATAACAGGAGGTGTCTGTTACTTTTTCTGCGTTTTTGTAAGATTTAAAGGCATTTTATTAAAAATGGCAGTTCATTTCAGTGACTTTTTGTGTTGTCATTATTTTGTCATCTTGTTCCTATATATCAACAATAAAGGACTTTCCTATAACATTGTTTTCATCTGGAAACTGTATTATTAACCTGCTATCAGTTTACACACCTGAAGGGGGGTGTGTGTGAAGGGAAGGGCCGTTGTTTGGAGCCGTCTGTCTTTTTGACCTGTTTTAACCTTTGAGGCAAACACCGGGTCTGCTTTTAAAGCACGCGGTGACACAGAATAGCTGATGTTGAGTTACCTTTTTTTTTTTCTCTGTCTCAGATGGCGATGGTTATGTAAGTCTTGCTCCCTCTGAACTTTAAATTCAACATGGGGGATGGACCATATGTTCAAAGCAGGTTTTCCGTGGGGAGATCTTCTTTCTTGCACATATGTTGTGTTTTAAACATTGAAAGACCAGATTATAGTTACTTTGATTTTATTTATTTAAAAAAGGCTCCCTAAGAAGCAAAGTCCTGAGCATTTTTTTTAACAGAGCTACTTCTCAAATCTTTGGCTGTTTTTCTGCTGTTTTTTCCCCCCATGCTCTGCATGAGTTGAATGAAGCCTCTTTTATCTCTCCTTCCCCACTTCTTTCCATGTCTTGCTCTGCCCATGCTTGCTGAACTATAGTCGCCTGCGGTTCTCACTTAATTCGTACTCTCTGGAAACCTGTGGTCTGCCTAAACACTACCTGCATTCTGTCTAACCCACTGCCAGCGTTCACTAACGACTAACGCTTCATGCCTGCACATCACAGATGGTTACATAGGAATGTTATGCTGAATTACTCCTAGTTTGTGCATGCAAAAAAAGAAAATTTAATATTCACATTTTTGTGTCACTCATAAAAAAAAAAAGGTGTACAATACCAGTCAGAAGGTCTAAACTCACCTAGTCATTCAGGGCTTTTCCTTATTTTTATTGCTTACTCTATTGTAAATATATAGTAAATACATTAAAATGATGAGGTAAAAGTGTATAGAATTGTGCAGTAAAGTTCTTGACATTCTCTCTTTGACTTTTAAACCTGAAAGGGGAGTATTTTTTTATCATTCCTGAAGGAGCTCACAGAAGTTGCAATAAAGATAAAGACAAAACATAGAATGGGGAGGTGATTCCAAGCTTTTTAATGCTTGTGTTCATAAGATGAATGTTTTACACCTGATTGCATTTCCCCTTTATGAATTCCAAAGAAGTTTAGAGATCACGCGAATGAAAACCAAAATGCAGTGATCCACAAAGTTTAAAAACTACTTTTTCCTCTTCAGCACCTTGCAACATGTCTTTAAATTTTCCCAGTGGCATTGGTCATTGAGACATTCAGAAAGAGGGATATTTCACCGTTTTTTGTTTGTTTTTTTTAGATGGGAGGGTCTTTAACCTGCAGCTTCGCAAATATACGCCTGAAAAACAGCTTTGATTCAAAAAAGTCATTCAAAAAAAATTTGCATTTTTTTTATTTTTTTTATATTTTTTAAGAATAACAGCATTATATTTCCAGATGATGCTAATTTTGGAAAATATTTGTCATTTTTGCTTATGAGTTCTCTTTGTCAAAAAACAAGATCTATTTTTTATTAGTTATTTTATTTATTAATTTTTTTTGCTGACACATAAAGATATAAACCAAATGGTTGTTTTATCAAACGATTAATCCTGTTTTATTTTATCCTAATAAGTAATCCATTTCCAAAGGGTCCTTGGTCTGACAGGGCTCTCAAACAGCCAGGTCAGGGTCATGACCCCGTGCTGCTGCTTTCTGTAACAGAAGGCTTTAGAAATGGACTCTTGTGTCATATTGATAACTTGTAGGAACAGAGAGGCAGGGAGTGGAATAATTCTTTAATTGCATTCCATACATGGATTGCCGTAATGTTGCACTGTAAAAAAAAAATTAAATTAAGTTAATCATTGTTTCTTAAAATAAGTGCATTTTTTCATTAAATGAAGCAGGTAAGTGAGACTTTGCCAATGGAATAAGAAAATTAACTTTTGAAATAAAAAAACTGCATTGTTTTATGTCAAGTGCATAAAATCTAATTATCTTATTTTAAGAGTAAAAATACTTATTTCATTTGCAGATCATCTGATTTACCTACTTACACTGTAAAAACTATCTAAAATTAGTAAAAGTTTCTCAAAATAAGTGTATTTACCTTTAACCAGCGGTTTTGTTAAAGTTAAAACCTTTTTAACGATATTTTTTTCCCCAAGGTAAATCAGTGTGCATAAAACCCTAATGTATAATATTATATCTGGGTTCAGTAAAAGGTTATTTTTTCAAGGCGTTTGATAAGTTATCTGAGGTGTGTCTGTGAGTAAACGTTCTTCAGAAATTAATCATAAAGGATACAACAAATGTCATACCTCCCTTGTTTTTAACCTATAGAACAAAGCTTCCATGTCGCCTTAAGGAAGCTGTAGACACGATATAATCTCTGCATCAAGTTTGTTCCAGAGATTAATTGGATTCCCTTAGCAGAGTTTCTGCTTTATACAAATGTGTCCAAAGCAGATATGATTTAGCAGCTATTCAATTAATTTAAAACAACCTATAAAGTGTTGACCTTGTAAAAGCACAGTGAAGAAACTATTTACTGTAAATTAGCCTCATAGGGGTGATCTAACTAACCCTACTAGTTCAAAGATTTTTTTTTCCAATGTTGTGGGTTTTATATAAAAGTTGTTCCAAGCCTTTTTTGTCTCTTTTATGCTGTGTTTCAATAATACAAGCTTCAAAATATATATTTTACAGTTTATACTGTGACTGCTGGTATCAGCAGAGGGACTAAACGCTCATTATAAAAGAATTTTGATTTGGTTTTATTATTTTGAAACCAGCTTGAGCCTTTTTAGCTTCCATGCATTAACATATGGGTCTTTATGCATCACAGGGACATGACTGGTTCTCTAGCAGGGACTTCCTGAACCGGTGAGTTTCTGTCTATCTCTCTCTCACACATACAAACAAGAATCATAAGAACAGGGTGGGTCTAATTTTCCAAGAGGGAGGGACAGTCAGCTGCCAGTGGGATCGTTTTGATGCAAGCCAAGGTTCAAAGGTGGTCTGCTTTTATTTTCATGGAAAACCCATAAAGAGTTGCAACTCTCCATCTTTTCAGACCTTTGCAGTCAGATAATGCATTTTTTTCAGGCTTTTGGGGGGTACGCTATCCTTTGATTACTTACATTAAGAACTTCATAACATTTATCCAACATGTGTTCTTTTACCTCCTGTTTTGATGTGTTTTCCTGGTTGTTTTCTGAGATGGACCAACACAAGGAGGCGTATCTTTGTGAAGGCAAAGCCATTCAGTGTTGCTTGGTCTTCATAATGCTTTGAAGTTGTCCAGCAAAATCTCTAAGACCTTTGCAGAGCTACTCAATTCAAATAGCGATGAAGTAACAAGCAAATGGACTCTATTTACTAATTAGGGGACTTCTAACAGGATTCAATTCCACTGGCATTTATTTAAGGGGAGCAGAGTTAGGGGCACTGATTGCAAAATCATCATGCTTCACTTTTATTCACAAAAGCTCATTTATTTCCTTTATAATTACAAGATTTGTGTTGATATTAGCTATGAAAGTCTAATAAAACATATTAAAGTTTTAAATAAATGTAAGTAAATGTTTTATTAAAGTTCACTTTTAGAACCTCCTGATTTTAAAATGTCCTCCAAAC